AAATATCAAAACCCAATCATTTTACACACTTGAAATTTTTTTTTGAAAAATAGAGATGGGTTAATATTTACTTTCAAAAAATGAAAATTTATTTTTTATTTTACTTTGCAAAAAGTAAAAAAATGGTGTATTTTTATGAGATGAAGAATTTAAATTTTTTAAAAAGATACTCAAGTCTGTTTTAGGCGTGAAAAATGGTTGCGAGTTTCTTCTTTAGATAAAATAATTCTTTGTGTTATGAGTCTCTGATAATATATAATTTTTTTTAAAAGCATAAATGTTTAAATTTTTTATGAAGATATCAATACATATCGAATTCCTGTCATATAAAATATACTTATATATATAGTTTTTGATGTAAATTTAAGATTAGTTTTTTTAACAACTTTTTTTAGAAAAAAATTTGTAATTCAAGGGCACAAAAAGGGTTAAATCTAAAGTATTTCTCTAAGGTAATTGTCCCTCAATTAACTCCTTTAGTGAAAAAAATTGTTATTAGTAGTGATAAGTTAGACTGGATATTTTAAGGTCATGTTTAGAGGTGAAAAATGTAGTTTAGGAGCGTGAAAGGGAGTAAGGTAGGCTCATCCTACCTGAAATCCGTAGGCTCATCCACAGGAGAGACCGCCAATACAAACGCATGAAGAAAAATGGCTCGATGGAACTGAGAGAGGAGGTACTGAGACTCCGCCGAACCATTCAACGCTTATTGCGTAGATCGTATTGGAACTACATGAACGGCATCTTCTCAGAGGAAGACACCCCGACCAAAGATGTCAAGAACAAGCGCTTCTGGAGCTATGTGAAGCACCAAAAGTCCTCAAACGCTGGAGTTTCCCCTTGAGGTGGGATGGCCAATTGACATCTGACCCAAAAGCACAGGCGGAGATACTCAATCAGCAGTTCCAGTCGGTCTTTGGTGACGGTAGAGAGTACTCTGAGACTGAGTTCCTTCTGAAGACCAAAATGATGAACAGAGCCTATCCTATCATGGGAGATATCCAGATATCAGAACAAGGTGTGTTTGCCCTCCTCAATACCATTAATCCTTACAAAGCATGTGGTCCTGACCACATTAAACCACGAGTGCTCAAAGAATTAGCCAAAGAAATCGCTCCTGCACTGACAATCCTCTTCCAATCGTCACTATGCACAGGAAATGTTCCAGCAGACTGGAGAACAGCGCATGTCACTCCAATTTACAAGAAAGGAGAGCATTCCGACCCTGCCAACTATCGTCCGATATCCCTCACTAGCGTCGTCTGCAAACTGTTGGAGCACATAATCGTAAGCTCTGTCATGAAGCATCTTGAAAGCCAAAATATACTCAATGACTGTCAACATGGCTTCCGAGTCAATAGGTCATGTGAGACCCAGCTTCTCGAATTTGTAGAAGACTTGATGACCAATCTGGAGAACCACAAGCAGACTGACGTGCTAGTAATGGACTTCGCAAAAGCATTTGACCGGGTGAATCATAGTTTGCTTCTACACAAACTCCAGATATATGGGATTCAAGGCACCACTAAAACATGGATCTCTAGCTTCCTCAGCCACCGACGCCAAGCAGTAGTGGTGGGCGGTACAAGCTCCTCCTTTGTCAATGTGAAGTCAGGGGTCCCCCAGGGATCAGTCCTGGGCCCCTGTTTGTTCCTAGCATACATTAATGACCTACCGGAGAAACTGACATCACAGGCAAGACTGTTTGCAGATGACACAGCAGTGTATAGGACGATCGCCAACAGATCTGACCAGGACCAGCTACAACAGGATCTCAATCTGTTAGCTGAGTGGGAGATGAGCTGGGACATGGAATTTCACCCTGCCAAGTGCCAGACACTATCAATCTCTAGAAGTTGTACTCCTCTACACTACCAATACAAACTGCACGGCCATATTCTTGAGCAAGTTTCCTCCGTAAAGTACCTGGGTGTTACCATTCAAAGAGAGGTCCGCTGGGACGAGCATATTAACAATGTATGTAACCAAGCAAACCAAGCCTTGGGGTTCTTAAGGCGAAATCTAAAGATTGGCAACTCCTGTGTGAAAGAAAGAGCATATAAAGCCTTTATCCGTCCGATTTTAGATTATGCATCTTCAGTCTGGGACCCATTTACCCAGAAGAGCATTGACAGGTTGGAGGCGGTCCAGCGACGAGCAGCACGCTTTGTCCTAAACCGCTACAGGAATACCTCTAGTGTTGGCAGCATGCTAGAAACACTAGGCTGGTCACCATTGGAGAAACGACGACGACAATCCAGGCTCTCCATGATGTACAAGATAAATAATGGGCTGGTCCACTGTTCCAGTATTAAACAGAAACTCGTCCCTCTCCCCCATAGACAGCGACGAGGCCATGACAGGCAATTCAGGCTCATACCAGCAAGAAGCCAGTATAGGAGCTGCTCATTCCTGCCCAAGACAATCAGGGACTGGAACCATCTTTCAAAAGGAACAGTTGAGGCGACAACACTAGACACATTTGTGTCTATTGCCTCAAGCCTTCAAACCCCTAGTGCATAATTTCCTCATCACCACCAGTAACAGAAACATTGCAAATCCCATCTACATGCATAGGAGCCAAAATGATCAATAAATTGATCGTGGGCCCTTAAGATATAGAAGAAGAAGAAGGTAGGCTTATATTATATAGCAGATAAATACTTCTCAAAACTTAATGATGTTAGAAATGTAAATAGCATTATATGTTTAAAGTTATGAATTGTAATAATTTTTTGCAATAGCACTTAGAAATTTACGCAAAGGACCTTTCATTATTATCCCGATAATATCGGGTCATTTATTCTAGTAATAAAAGAATACATTAAGGATTTAAAGATACTTCAATACAAGTTTAATTATTTGGAAACAAGCCTGAGTCTTATAATTTGCCTGTTAGATTTACCTCATCTATAGTTAAGGTGCCACCTCTACATTCCTCAATGGTTGGAGCCTCGTCTATTAAAGTAAAGATTTTTTCTGCCGAAGAATTTGCTGCTGTGGTATCTGGCAGAAGGATGAGTACACGGAATAGCGAGATAGCGCTCATAGACATGCAGGTAATTGTTCTAAGATCAAAACAAAATAGAAAATTTTAGAAAATTATGTTACTATTTAGAAAAACCGATTTCTTATGTTATAATGATACGAATTTCATAATTTTGATAACATTAAAATATTCATTTTGTAAAACTGTATGCACTCTTGTAATATGTTTTTTTTTATTGATGAATGAAGAAAAAAATGAAAAACTAAAATCAGACCATCTGTTTTCAAAGTACAGAATCAATGCTTGAATGATCACTTCATAGATCTGTTAGTGAATAGAAATATATAATTGATCTGAACTCTTCATGCCTAGTCCTGATCGCTAACTTCTTAACTGAATAATTTATAGGTCCAGCAATGTAGAAGGAAAAAAAATAAAAATCTCTTCATCACTATATTTGTAACTTTTTTTTTTTTTACTTCTTCATGGGCCTGCTGGGAATTTTTCAAAGGGGACATGATTTGCGAATACTTTTCACTATGGGGCTAGAGTGGAAAACTCTTTAAATAATTTAGAATAATGTGCTTGTAACCAGCAGAATGTGGAAAGATATGTTTTTGACCTCTGCACCACTGGGAGTTGGAAAAGTAAAGAAGAAGAAGAATGTAAAATATATTGCTTTATTGGTGATGGTTTATGCAGCTAAATTTGTCTCACTACTTTAACAGATGTCTGATATTTTTATATGGAATAAATGGACAACAGAAAAAAATTTTAAACAACTTGATAAATTTAATGAATAAACAAACACTGGGTTAAAAATAGACAAATGCATAAATCAATAGGTAAATAGAAAATTGCAAATCATACAATTTATTTGTAGGGCTTATCCACCTGTCAACTTCTGATTATTACTGATTTTGGTATCACAAAAGCCATTTTTAAGCCTACTCCTCGTTGTATGCTTTAAACTGCACATTAGCCTTTCAGTTGTTTTTTTAAATACACTTCATCTTATTGAAAAAGCACACAGTCTGTGTTAGAAGTGACCCCTTCAGTCACCCATGTTATTTCATTGAATACATCCTTGGGACAGGTGATGTACATTTACACATTGTCTAAATAGTGCCGTTAAAACTTAATACAACTCAAGCATTTATCAACTGACTAATTCCTCTCATTGTGCAAGAGGGGTGAAAAAGAGTTAACATCAAATTCTTCTGCAGCCTACCACTTTTTAAAAACAGCCTCCATAATATTTCCCCATATTAATAGGTCTGAGAACAAAATAGTACATAATCTTGTCTTTATTTCATTAAATAAATGAGGAAAGATAAAATTACATCCAGTGGATCATCAACTTGAAAAGAAAACAATGAACAGATTTTAATTTTTTATTTAAACCTGCTCTGTCACATTTATACAATGGTTAGTCATAAATCTCTTATTTTAGTTTTAGGAACAAGAAAATGGAAATAATCAAAGTATAATTCCCATTTTTATTTCCAACCATATTCAGTTATCTGTCTAACTCCATTTAGATTTATTTTTTAAAAATCTATTGTACTGTTTAATCTTTTTTGTTTTCTGAGGAAGGCAAAGTATGTTCGTAGTTTCATTTGTCTTTTTTCAGGTTTACTCCTATTTCAGGTTTTCTTCTATTTCAGGTTTACTCCTATTTCAGGTTTTCTTCTATTTCAGGTTTACTCCTCTTTCAGATTTCTTATTTCCTTATTGAATTTAATGAATCAAGTAAGTGAATTTTCCCACCAAATAGCTGCAAATTAACCAGGTGCCCAATTCCCACAAATATCAAACACAAATTGGGTCAGTTGACTGTATAAAATGTCAGCATAAAAGATATAAAACTGCAGAACTTGTTTTACCTTATCACGTTATAAAACTCCAGTTCTTGTGATTCAATCAAGATTTTTCCAATAATGTAACTGGCACAATTCACAAAGTAAGGAATTGATGAGTAAAACCCATAGCATATTCCAGCACTGAGAAGGTAGCCATTCATACTGTGAGAAGCTTTCTTGAGGCTACTTGCATATTGTTCATAAAACTTATCTTCTATTGTCAAAGAGGCAACAGACCGGATATTGCTGATACTCTCTAGAGCACCCTGATGAAGTTTACAAAATAATAAAAATATATTTTGAACAGAGATGATGAATCTTTTATAGAACAAATAAATTACCAAAGAGCTGTATTACTACAGCACATCTCCTTTGGCTCTAATGTATGAAAATCTAGATAAATTTATTTTCTTAAATACAACTAGAAATCCTCTTTCATGAAGAGCTTTTTAAGTTAATAAAGATCTTAATTAGATCTTTCTAATTTTAAATAAATGTCTATTTCCCAACTCACCAATTTGTTGAAAGTGCATAATTTATCATTCATAAAATTTTAATTTCTTTAAGAAATAATAAAGCTTTATACAAGAAGATTATCATCTTACTGCTGTTGCAATCTCAATAGATTTCCTTGACGTCCCTTTAATCTTGAGGGTGAGATATTGTTGTACCCTAGCACTAAAAGTAAAAAATAATAAATACATAGAATATCATTACAATATACGATTTTATAAAATGAGGACCAAATTTTAAGCTTTCAAGTTTTCTTTCACTTATGATGTTTTATTGACAAACACAAAGGAAAAGTGCTAGTTCCATAATTGTTTATGCTAAACTTGAGCTTTATATCAAAATTAATTTTGTTAATGATTATGATCATTATACCAAATTAACAATTTATTTTGTAAATGAACCTGATCTTGTTGTACCAAAATAAAAATTTATTTTGTTAATGAACGTGATTGTATTATACCAAACCAACAATTTATTTCAATAATGAACATGATAGTGTTATAAAAAACTAACGATTGGTTTAGTGAGCGTGATCGTATTATACCAAACTAACAATTAATTATTTTTTTAAACTTAATCAAAATAAAAATAAATTACCTTACAATTACAATAGGTGCAGCACATACAAAAATGAAAGCCAATTTCCAGCTGAAATAAAAGGTAAATGCTAATCCTAGGACCAAGATTGTAGCACTGTTGATAAGCAGTCCAATGGTTGTAGTGAAGGCCTAAAATTATAAATATACAAAATTGTATGGTCAACTTTACTTTATATATCTTTAATAGTTATTTATTGAAACTAATTTCTGATACTAAACTTAACCAAATTATATATTTAAATAATGTAAAATGTTATAAGGTATTTAAATATATAACAGGAACAAATTGCAGACTCCCATTTCTCCATTGAAAAGTCATTAAATAGTCTCAAACCTGAACTGACCTCTTGTACCTGAGATGCCTCCGTAGCTAATCTGGTTGTGAGAATTCCAACAGAATTCTGGGGGTCATCATACCATGACATTTTCTAAAACAAAACTTTTTATAATGTAATATCTCAACAGAATTTCAAATGCAAATAAATTTTACCTGATTTCATGCTTGAATGATATTAACATAATTTCTTTTTGTGAATAAATATGCTAAGCCAATAAATCTGTACAAACATGATTTTTTTTAATTTGAAGCCCACTTTGATCTTCATACTCATACTAAAGACTTCTTTACTATAGACAACTAAAGCGTATTTATTTGATTTGTAAAATCTGAAATTCTGTGTAATTTAAAAATATAGTAATGGATAGAAAGACTCCACTGTTGTTAGTCCAACAACATGAGAACGGAGAAGGTTTTCAGTGAAAACTTGCAGCATCTGTCTTTCAAAAATACATTTTCTAAGCACGTGCCAACCTGAAATTAACAACCAATTGAAGAATCTTGTCCTCATCAGGATGCTCGGATATCTCTCGTCCACTTCTTATGTCCCACGTGGAGTGGCGGACACACATGCCATTACAATAGATTATAACAGGCATATTTACAACCTTCTCTACTTACAGTTTTGAATTTAAATTAACACCTACTTGTCTGACTGTGGCTCTGAAAAGTCTGTCTCTTAATCTAGTTGTGAGAGATTCACCTGACACAGCTAACATTGCATCCTGTAAAATTTCAATATTTTTTCACTTTCATTAATTTATAGTTTTTGGGAATTATTGTCTGGTTACTTAAAGGTACTTTTCATAGATAATTTGTCTTACATTCTTAATTATATTGCAAATACATTTATTAGGAACCAAAATAATTCATTAAGCAGATAGCAATTTGTGAAAATGTATGACTGTAGGTCAGTAAATTTAGATATTTAAGATGCTCATGTTAAACATAAATGTAAATTTTAAAATGATTTAAGTTTTTACTAAAAAAAAATTAAATAATTTTTTTTAAAATCTTAATCTATGGAAAATAATTATTAGCCGGAGAGTCAATTTCTCACTTTAGCATAATTTTGACCACTGCCCATTTTATGGCTTTCAAATAATACTTTAGATGTCTTGTGTTTAAATTGGTATGATTGTAAAATTTTATTTTGATTAAATATGTATTTATTTATATGCTGAAATTATTATGTGCAATTTAATCAAAAATAATTTCTATTTATTTGGATCAATGAAGAATCTTATCATATCTTATAAAATGTGTCTAACCTGAGCTAGGTTTGTGATGATTACAAAAAAAGCAAGGCCAACACTCAAAAGACTTGAGTTATTCATTGCCCTCTCCTGGAACTGCAAGTCTACAGAAGACAAAGCCTGGTCAAGACAATAAGGATTGAAATCAATGTTTTATATGCTATTGCATATAAGTGGCACATGCATATATATTACATATTATAATGGACCAAAAGGACATGAGCCAAATGTCAACCCTCTTCAATTGATGTTATCTGTCAACAATGTCATTAAAATAAATAACTATCTAAGATCACAGCCAGTTATTATACCTAAAGAATAGTACATCCATTTTGCAAACATTCCAACACAGTACACAAGCCTGAGTTTGGGACGTATCAATTGACGTAAGATCCATTACTAATGAGATAATGCCATTAATCTACATTTTAATATTAGGCATCAACTTTGGATATATTAACAACCAGTATTTAAAATAAGATTTCTCTTTAAGAAATTATTGTATAAAGATTTGTTACCTGAAGAATGGTGCCACTGATGAAGGCCCAAATACACTGCATAAAACCACTTAGCGATCCTCCGATCAAGCCACAAGTGATGAAGAACCATTCTGGCGCATTTAGTTTTAACAGCCTCAATACGGCGTGTTGTGCTTTTTTATACTTTAATATCTTTTGATTATTCTGTTGTTTCAAATTAGACTAAAACAATATGCAAAATCTTTGTTACAAAAAAATGACACGAATATAATTAGAAAATCATTGACAAAAAATGCTTTTAGGGAATCTTACATAGAAAAATTTTGCAATAAAATAAGATTTGCGGGGGTTCGTTATTTTAATGCAAATATATAAAGTTTTGGATTCTAAAATTATTTAATAGCTTTGTTATAGCTGAGTGATGATAAGTGATTTAATAAAATAATCAAGCATTGTTTAAATTTAATACTCAATAAAGAATTAGTGCAGAATTTAAGATATTAAGATTAAGTTGAAGTTTTTGTGTAAAACTATTTGAGATTGTGTGCATTTGTTATTAATGTGACCTGTAATTCATAAGTCTATTGATGAAACTCACAAGATTTGGAGTATGGCTCCCATTGGCCATGTCCCATTTGAAATTTTCAGCTTTTTTGCTGTGTTCATTTGGAGAGCGAATGGCACTATCACTGAAATGCTCATCTACAGATAAAAATGAATCCTTATAATTGTAATCCAGCGAAAATAAAGAAGTGTTCTGAAATTCCTATGACTCATCATTTAATGACAGACTTTTTAGAAAAAAAAGTTGTCAGTTTTTTTTTTAATGCTCTTAAAAAAAATAATGGTGTCAAAATAATGTATATTACATTTATTAAAGCCATTAGACTGATTAGAACTGAACCGGCTTTTAACTGTGATTCCAAGGCCAAGTGCTAGTATTTTTTTTTAAATCAACAGATAATATAAAAAGTAGAAACTTACTTTTTTTTGACTGCATGCAATAAGTAAAAAGAAAAAGACAAATTCAATTTTGAAACATATTTACATTTCATTTTTTCAGCTTGAATATAATTTATTAATGATTATATATAATACTGTTTTATTACTCATTTATCAAAAAAAAAAGGGTGCTTCCGTTTGAAAAAAAAAATTGATACAGATTTTACCTCCCTTATCAGACAGAGTTATGTATCTTTAACTAACATAATGTAAAAAAAAAAGAGAAACATAAAAACACAATTTTAATCAAATATAATTTGGAATACAATAAATTATTTTAAAACAGAAACTAGTTTTTTCATCATTCTGTAAATTCTGTTGTTAAACACAAGTAAAATAAATAAAAAAATCAATTTTCACTGAATTGATATTTTAAATAAGTAAATGTAATAAGACATGGTTAATCTATTTATAGTACAGAGAGTTAAATAATTAGAAATGATTTTTCCTTTTTTTAACAAACACAAATATGAAATAAATAATATATTTGTAAAAGTTAATTATTTTAAAACACCAATTGATACAATAATATAATACTTCTTTTTTTTACTAACATAAAATTTAGCTTGGATATGGAAATGTTTTAGATGCTTAGCATGTTTTAATGCTTAAGTGTATTGAATGACTACACGTGAATAAGAGGAAGACTTTGTAAACTTAATATATGGATCCATATTGTGTATTTTTTTCCTAGCATATAAGTGATAAACTGAAATTGTTCAAATCTCTTTCTAACTATTGCATTAAAGTCTAAATGCACAACTGTGACAAATAACACTAACATGTTATTGAAAAATTTCAAATTTTTCCACGTAACTCAGCTGTTTGAAAACATTGACTGGATTGAATGTGCATTAAGTTATAATGCCATCAATTAAGAAAAAACCGGTTTAATTAACTTATTAAGTTATGATTGTTTCATAAAGTTTTGACTAATTAATGAATTTTCTAAAAATAACTTACAGACAAATGATTATTAATTATATAAGTGGATTATAATAATGAGCAAATCAAAAAATTAATAATAAATATGCATTGTGTCAGCCAACCTGTAAAGCCACCAGTTGGGTATAGATTCCACCTCTTGCCATAAGTTCATCATGTGTGCCCTGCTCTGCTACACACCCACCCGAGAACGCTAAAATTACATCAGCATTTCTTATAGTGGACAGTCTGTGAGCGATGATAATAGTTGTACGTCCCTGACTGGCCTAAAGGAGATTTTAAAGAAAGGTGTTTTGTTTTGTCAGACTTTCATTCACTTAAAGAGGTGTTTTGTCAGACTTTCATTTCAGTTAAAGAAAGGTGTTGTGTCATACTTTAATTTCACTTAAAGAGAGGTGTTTTGTCAGACATTCATTTCATGATTGGTTTATCCATTGCAAAATTTTGTAATTTTCATTGGTTATTAGTCAGATAAAAAAAAAACCTTTTCAAGAGCATCTTGTACAATAGATTCACTTTCTGTGTCCAAGGCTGAGGTTGCCTCATCAAGTAACAGAATCTTTGGGTCTTTCACCAATGCCCTTGCTATGGCCAGTCTCTGCTTCTGACCCCCACTGAGTTGTGCACCTTGTTCTCCAACATAAGTCTCAAATTGCTGCAACACACACATTATATCAATACAAGTTCTTAGTTCTAAATAAATTGAGATAAATAAATAAATGTCTCCTCCAAGCTCATTATTCATATGAATAAAACTAAATATTTAGTTTTGTTACAAAAAAATTAATTCCTTGATTCGGCTGCAAGATAATTGATAGACTTTTTTTTACTCACCAATGGCAAAGCCATAATAAAATCATAAGCATTTGCTTTCTTGCTGGCCTCTATAATCTCTTCCATTGTGGCGTCCTCTCTTCCAAAACGAATATTCTCTGTAATTGTGGTGGCAAATAAAACAGGCTCCTGGCTAACAAAGCCGATGTGTCGACGTAGCCATTTGATGTTCAAATCTTTTATATTGTGTCCATCAATGCAAAGCTAAACAACAAATATCCTAGCTTGAGATTTGGCAAATATACAGAAACACAACTGATTGTCATAAATTAATTTTTTTTTTGAGGATCGACGTTTGAAGGAGTAGCAATTAAATAAATAATATCTAAAATAAAAGAGGACTCAATTACCTGTCCCTGAATAGGATCATAGAATCTGAGAATTAACTGTACAACCGTTGATTTACCACACCCACTAGCACCAACCAGGGCTACAGTTTGACCTTTGGACAATGTAAGGTTAAGGTCATTCAGCACCTGAAAATAAGCCAATATGCTTTTTAAATTATAGAGGTATTGTCACATTGGAGATGGCGTTGGTGGGTCGTCGAGCGTGAGCTCTTAATACCTCCCCCCCCCTACCCGGCACACCTCAACACAGGCCAGACGCCAGGTCTCCCCGCTGCCAGACCGTGTGGAAGCAAGCCTGGAACCTCCCCCCTGACCTGGGGGACGTCCGGTCGACTGAAAACGCTGCGTTTAAATCGTTCGCGGTCCACTCTCCTTGTGTCTGAACCGCTTTGCTTCCTTTCTGAAGAAAAGGTGTTGCGTTACCTTTCCCCACCGACCAGGGTGTTGTTCGGTCGGGAGGAAAGCTGGGACAAAACGGTTTCCTAGGAGCGGCTTTCTCAGGGCCACATAGCTAAAAACATTGGTATTGGTTTTAACCGCCTCTTAGGCCTTATCTCCATTAACGGCAACAAGTAATCATATTATTGCGTTACTTCCGTTGTGTTGGGAGTCATGGCAAGTGGCCGGGGTTTTTGGCTTCATGAGGGGGAACCTCCCTACTAGTCAGGCACGCCACGAAGAGGCGAACCCCATGTGACACATCCGAGTTGCCTCTGACTTAGTAGTCGTTATATAGAGGTAACAAAACTTCCAATTATCTTATATTCATATTTCCACCAAAAAAAAATTTAAATGTTGTGTAAAGTATAAGAGGAAAATCAATTCATAATTTATATTCATCTTCTTTTATCTGTTATTATTTAAAAATTTAAAGGGCATTTTGCAACTGCTAAGGTTTAAATTTAAACTGACATTATGACATTATGATTATGCAAGGAACACAAATCAAAGACTTATTCCTTGTGTAAAACATCTCAAGTTTAAACATGTTAAGTGATCAACATATTTAAAGTGAGAAAAGTAACAGTATTTTATTGTCTAACCTTGACCTCCAGTCGAGAAGGGTAAGCAAATGTTACATTTTTAAACTCAATTGTTCCCGACATAGTCTGGGGTGTAAGACCTTCTGTTGAACTGCTGTCTATGGTAGATTTCTGAAGACAAATGAATGGGGAGGTGTCATTGAAAATATTTATTATCTGCTCTATGGTGTACATGCAAATCTTTATCAAGCAGAGTAGCTTGCCCGTGGTTGCCGCCTACTTTTACCAATTGGTGTTGGTTCCAAAATCATGTTTTTTGTTTCTAAACTCAATTCCAGTAGGTTAATTAGGGTTAATTAAAATAGATCCAATAATATAGTTTCAAAAATAAAATGTATACTTTTAATCTGAACAATTTCTTTCCTATCAGTTCATGATGACGTCATCCGATCCATGTTTACTTAGCCAAACCATGACAACCACAAATAAAATGAAAGCAGAAATGATATTCACCAATCAATTATGCTCTTTTCTCTCTGAATTATTTTTTTTTCTTTTTGAACCTACTCCATAACAGCTTAGTTTAATAGCTGATGTTGTTTTCAATCAATTTTTTGCTTAGATCTTTAACCAGTTGTTCTTTATTGTTTTATTTAAGGATATCTTTTCTACTATTGATTAATGTATAGTGAATAAAAATCTGATATTAAAGTTATTCAAAAGAAAATGATAACATTGTTGATGTGATCTCAGTCCTGAACATCTCTCAATTTATTTTAATTATAGAAACTTTTTTAAAAAAGAGACCTGTATTTTTTCTTTCTATTCTTCTTTTATTTTAAATCGATATTACTTAAATAATGTTTTACTTTTTAAAAATCTCTAATTATTTGGAATTAAAATTAACTCAGGGTCTATTTAAAAATCTGAGACTGTCCCTCACCATTGAGTTTTAACATTGTTTTATAACTTTTTCAACATAAAAAAAGCTTTTATAAATATCTTCTGATGCGACTAAAACTAAAATTAAATGATTATTTTCCCACCTTATGGATTATGGAACTGAGTTTCACTAAAGCTGCTTTTGCTGTAAAAATATCCTTAGCAGTTGGAATAAGCAATCCCATGTATATTGCTGCAACAAATGATGTGTAGAAGACCTGCCAGAGATAATGATCTTATTAATTTATAGATGTTGATACAAATACAAGATCCGATTTATTGCATATTTTAAAAATAGTTTGTTTATATGTTTTTTTTCGTTTTCTTCAATCATTCATAAGTTACAGGGTAAAGGCTTATTTGCAACTTGTGTATGTAACCATTGATCACAAACGTCCAATCTATCTTACTCTGAAATATGTTTTCCATATACTTATGTGCAGACAAGCTCTGCAAAATAAACCATCGGACAACAAAAAGTTTCGATACTTTGTTAGGACAAATACAGCACTTCATGCTTATAAAAGTGTAGCTACATTCTTTGAAGCAGCACCTAATTATGTCCCAGATTAACCACGTAGCAAAATATTCATTTGCATTTAATTTGAATTAAATTCAAGTATCTACAGTTATAATTCATTACAGC